TATATATATATATATATATATATATATATATATATATATATATATATATATATATCTCAATCAATCAATCAAAAAATACTCAGGCAGCTTTATATCTTTGTTTTTGTGTATACTGATAAGCCTATGACAATAATAATTCACAAAAATAACAAATTTTTTTATGACATATAATTCGTTCGAGTGGGAGAATATGTAAAATACCAAAACTGTTTTGAATAATATATCCATTTTTTTAAATGTGGAGAATCTTAAAAAAAGAATCATTTCAATTGATAGCAACTTCTGATAATAATGGAGCATAAATTAATCTAAATGTCATATATATATATATATAAAGTTTTTAGGTTTCGGATCAGAGGGATGTGTACAAAAAATCATTAGTTTTCTGATTACATGTATAACCTTTCTAAGGTATATTTATTTATAGTTGAATAATACTTTGGAAGGTTTCATATGCAAAGATCCCACTATTTGATTCCTTGCGCGCAGGTAATGCCGCCGCGGGAGGTTTTCCCGCTCTTAACACTCGCAAGTGAAGGAGGACGCGAAGCCAATCCCGCCTCTACACCTGTAATGAGGCAACGGCAATAATTAGCAGCCGCCGTCCCAATCTCCATTCACACCCCTTTCGCTCCGCTCCGATACAGCTCCCCCGCCCTCTCCCGACCGTCTCCTATGCCCAACCATCGCTTCCTCGCCAATCCCCCATCTACTTCTTGAGGTACCTCTTCGATTCTTCCTCACATCGATTACTTGCTGTGGATCACATCACCGGACAAGCACCTGACGCTCCGCTGTCGATCTACGGTTCAATTCCTCTGTCTAGGGGGGCAATTGCTGTACCTTTTGCATCACCGTTTTTCGATTCGCGGTTATCATATCCACATCTTCTCGCTCGATTCTTCATCCAGAGGACAGAAGCATATCTTTTACAGTCTGAGGCTTTGAAGGTACATCAATTTTCCCTTGATTTATGTATCCGATGTTCGGTCTTCCGATTACTGTTCCACCTAGCTGCTCTCTCATGATTTTGCTACAAGTTGCATCTTGAATCCATAGTCGACAGGAATGCATCAGATATGCATGTGATAAATGCGAAAATTGTAGCCTTTTCTCGCTTTTACAGAAAGATATGGTTCAAGGATTTGTAAATGAAAAATCTGGAATCCATTCATCTTTTTCTTCTTTCACCATGTTTTGTAAACAGAAACCTTATCGTGTTAGACATCCCTGTTGAATGCTGCATAAAAGGTCGTGCTAGGATAACTTTATCTCTTTGTCTTGGATCTGGATTTGCAAGATATGTGCGAGGCCCATTATGCAGTAATATGTTCGGATATATGAAAGTACTTGGAAATTGTTTGTTTGTTTGGAATGATTTTGTGATGTCAATAGCTTGCACAGTTCTTCTTTTTCGGAGTTTAACTCTCTGCTGAAGTTTTCAAAGGATAACAAGCTTATTTCTGGTTGGTTTCCTTATAAGAGTATATTCATCTTCATTTTTGTTATATGATAATTAAATTATTTAACTTTTGCACCAATTCATAGGATTTTTGCATATAGTGAATTTGCATGTACAGCATAACATATTCCTCCTATGTCTAATGTACCAGGTTCAAAAACTTCAAGTTTGAAGTTTGAAGTCAGCAAGATTCTTTTTGCCAATAAGGTCATCATGTTGCCTGTTTTACTGATTAATGACTGTGGAACAGTTCTGCTACCGAAAACATATGCCAAGGAGCAATGCTTTGAATTCTTTATTTGTGAAACCTTGCAAATGCTCTGAACTTTTCAAATTTTTGATAAATACATAATGCACAAATTTGGAAGGAAGTAGACATCATTTAGCTAGATATAAGTTCTGATATGTTAGAGATGTAAGGTAGATCTTAAACTAGTATATGCTTAGAGCATTTATTTAATCTAACAAGACTTCTAAATATATTGATATACAATATGTATGAATTTGGAGTTTCTGCTTAATATTTCACATGTGTGTTCAAAAAGAAATTGTGACTTATTATAAATTATATTTCTGATCATGAGCCATATTAATTAAATTATACATGCTCATTATGTAAAGATTACAGCAATAAACACAAAGCATGTACTTATTAATTGTGTGTTCATGCTGTTTAGTGCCATGCTTTCAGAAAAATTGCCATGTTAGATTGTTAATACTCTGGTGTGTACATGTCCATGCTTCAGTCAATGTCAAATTCATTGACAAGCCTAACATGAATTTAAAGACAAGTACTGATATAGGGTGTGCTTTAAGGTCACAATGAACTTGTCTCACTTATCTCAGAAGACAGTTCTATCCACCTATCTCATATTTTAATATCAGTGCTCTTTTTGGTTTTATGAGATAAATTTTCGTTTTTTAATTGACATAACCAGCCAAGCAGTCACTTGAAATTAAAGTTGAAAGCTATAGTGCAATTTTAATATCAGTGCAATCCTTTCAAGATAAGTCATCTTTTGCAGCTTATTGATACATTTCATACAAACAAATGGATCTGTAGTGTCCTATTTTTTCACATGTAAAGTCTCTGCTTGTTAATGATCATTTTGAATTTTTCTTGACATGTGCTATTTTTATGTACAGGCTTAGAGAACAAGGATATTATGGCTAGAAATGCTGATGGTGTTGATTCTACAGGTTGACTCTAAATCATTTGTTAACGATGTTCAATGCAAGGTTCGTAATACCGTATCGTACCGGAGTTTCGACCTGGGCTCGGTACCGGTACGGTACGGTATACCGCTCGGTACATTCAGGTGTACCGAGCGGTACATCCAGGTGCTACAGTAATGCTAGTGTCGGAACGGTAACATATGGTCCACGTACCGAAAGTCTGGTGGACCGGTACGTACCGCCCGTACCGGGCGGTACGGATCGGTACTGCAAACCATGGTTCAATGCTAACTTTACTAGACCTTTGTGTTCACAAGAGAATGCTCAATATATTATAATTTTCACATTCATATGAAATGGAGCTCATCCTTGATCTCTGTAGGATGGACCATTTCTAATTTGGTGAAGTTTTTTCATTTCAGTCCCATTGGTTGTTCAATGATGATGGCTCTGCATATTGATGCATAAATAAAATAGGCATGTGGCCTCTTATTTATGCTATTATAACATTATACGAAGAATACTACATAAGGTATCCCAAATTTAATCAAGATTTATGCATCTGTTTCAATTAGTTAATTATATTAATTGAGTGTAAGTTGAGAGCTTGCTAAATATGTTGAGCAATATCTTCATTTTTTGCTAACTTTAAGTAATCTAGTAAAACTGATGTAAGGTGCTTAAGATTCATAATTTGGTAGCACTTCCATAATTTAACATACCAATACAAGCCATCATGGACTTTCTGTCTGTCTGTGAGTGCATAGGATTAACTCCTTGATATTTTGGCATGCTGTTTGATGAAATTATGCAGTGGCATTGCTTATGTTGCCTGATAGGAGCTGGTACAGTTAACATGCCCAACTTTTGTGTGGAAGATTAATTTGCATATGTTAAATCATCAAAGGTTGCAACATTGCAGTAAGTTTGTTAGAGAAAGATACCCTTAATTATAAGCCATCCTAGAAATGGATTGAATTGTGCTGTCATTTGAAAATCAGTTTTTTGTGTCTCCACATCCTCCGGTGACTCTGACCACATGACTTTTGGTATCAAGCATTACCCTAGTCAAATTTATAAATGGTGTGTGATGGTCATCTAACAAATTAGCAATTAAGGGTATTTGTGATTATTTGAAGACTGCAGGCACCATTGCGGGTGCAACAAGCTAAAAGCGCACCACTGACATAAAATTACATTATAAAAAAAAAATTGATTTCTTAATGAGATTTCAAATACTACATATACATATATAGAATTAATTTAGCACATAAGTTCCATGTGAAATGATGACTTGCAATTTCAAATATAAAAATGAAATTTAGTCATGCTTGACCTATACAATATCAAAATATTTAAAATAACAAAAACTGACAGGATCATCCATCATCAACAATATTATTAATAAAAAGTTGGGATATTAAGGATATTCACAGAAAAAAATTGGGTCAAAAAGTTTTATTAAGATTGATTTAAGTTAATTTGATTCATTAACTTGGGTGTTAAATTATATCAATTGCTAAAAAAGACTCTTTATTGTAAATCAACCACTCAAGACCTTTGCTAAGCAACTGCAGTAGCGGCCAAAAACTTACCGCAATTGCCACGGGCCAAAAAGGCAATTAGCATCCGCTATGCTTGTAGGCCACCACCTTTTGTCATTACGATGGTTATTGTTAGCCATTCAACCATCTCTTAACTATTAACAAAACATTCGCTTCACATTCCTGATTTAAACATTTACACCAAAATTTAAGTGAAATTGAGAAATCACAATGTAAAAACGTTTTTAGCAGTTTTTATGACCAATTTATTTCTATGTTCATGATTTTGCAATTTTTTAATAGTTCCCATTATGAAATCTTTCTGCATCCATCACTTCTATGGGTGTCTATTTATGGTAATAATTACATTGTCCCATAGACTGAATTATGGAGCCTTGGGTCGTAATCTCTGGATTCATTATATCAAAGCTCTCTTCGTTGTAGTCTCTAGTTAAACTCTTCCTCACCCTTTGGTCATGCGATCATCAAACTCTCTTGCCTCGTTTTGTCATAATTTCCTCCACATGGATTATATTGTTGCTAATCAACATATGCCACACACTGTATGAAATCCTAATGATCTATGCAATAGTTTCTTATGTAAGGCTCAAGCACCACTCTGTCAACTTTAATATTCCTTTGTCCCACAGACTGCCTTATCACCTTGTTGTACCTGAAATCCAATTATGATTGATTATTTGACTGCCATTGTTCACCTAATGTCTTTCATGGCCTCCATCAGAATGCTTTTCTCTTTCATTTTGACATACTCATTTCCAGTGGCCGATCAATTTTTTCCATCTTCTTAGCCACCCTCAAGACATTTTATTTTGATCTTGTCCAGCTGTTGATTCCAAGCTTCTCAAGTTTAATCATGGATGTGATTCATTTTCACGTTCAGGTCTCATCCACTTATTCACATGAACTGGCGATGGCATCTTCTTTGTTGTTTGTTTGATGGTATACATAGAAGGCTTGACCAAACTTGTGTTTAAAGCTTTTATAATTCCCTTTAGAGCTTGTGTTGGAGGAAAAATTATAATAATTAAATTAGGTCAAATATAGTCTGTACTTCTGTAACTATACCTAGTCAATGAGCTTTCCTTGTCTAGTGCATACAATCATTGTGCTAAGCAAATTCCATTTATCTGCCCACATCAGTATTAAGGAACTTTGGATTTTGCTTATTAATAGGCAATATAGCTTTAAAGGTACTTGTTTATGGGTTTGTATGAGGCGCTAGCTGGGCATGCACTAAAGAGAATGAGGTAAGATCATGTACTAATAAATAGAACATTAGTAGTCATCTTCTTTGAGTGATCACAATGGGTCTTTTGTTGTGATTTTTTTGGAAATTTTTTTGCTCTTGTATGTGGAAGTTGTTTTCTCCAAGCTATAGATAAGAATATCCATGTTTTAGTTGTGATTCTTATTTTGTTTTCACATACTTTCTTTTTAAGAATATTCACCTAAACATTTTCTTCTATTTGTTTGTTACTCTTTCTGTATGCTTCTGTTTTTCTTTTCCTTTGACGAAACTTCAACTAAACATTTCCTTAGCAACTAAACTTCAACAAATTATTCTAATTTAGGAATATTTGTTCTGCTTCTAGTCCTTGGCATATTGTCATGACTAAAGATTTAACTGGCTTTTCAGGTATAAAAAGGAAGGTCAGAGGGAGACCTTCCAAAAAGAAAGAGAAAATAACAAATGACTCATCTACGGAACAAGAAGCAGTGGCAAGTTTTATTGAGGATCTTGGTAACAACCTTGAGAATGGTGAAGAACTTGTCACTCGCAAGAGGCCAAAGCGAGCAGCTGCCTGTTCAAATTTCAAAGAGAAACACATAAAGTTATCTGATGGATCTTTGTTAGTTGAGATAAAGAAAAATCAAGTAGAGAAAGATGAGATTGTTGCAGTTCAGATGACCAAACTTGGACCAGATGATATCCCACCATGTAGAAAGCTTGTGGATTGTATCTTGCATGATGCTGATGGAAACATGCAACCATTTGAAATGTCTGAAATAGATGATATTTTCATAACTGCTGTTGTTATGCCCTTGGATGATAATTTGGAAAAAGTGAAAGAAAGAGGAATAAAATGTGAAGGATTTGGGCGGATAGAATCTTGGTCAATTTCTGGTTATGATGATGGATCACCAGTAATTTGGCTCTCAACTAACTCTGCTGACTATGAATGTGTGAAGCCTGCAAGCATTTATAGGAAATTTTATGATCTTTTTCATGAGAAGGCCTGCATATGTGTGGAAATTTACAGAAAACTCGCCAGATCGGTTGGTGGAAATCCAGACTTGAGTCTGGAAGAGTTGCTTGCTGCAGTACTCCGTTCAGTTGGTGGAACCAAGAGCTTTTCTAGTGGATTAACTAGTAGAGATTTTGTTATCTCTCTTGGTGATTTTGTATACAACCAACTAGTTGGATTAGATGAGACTTCAGGAAACAATGACGTCCAGTTGGCTACACTACCAACTCTTGTTGCTTTGAGAGATAAATGCAGAAGAAGAACAGCATTTAACAAATCATCAAATATCCCTAATGGGAGTTTGAAGATCAAGGAAGGAGACAAAATGGAGGTCATTGAAGATGAGGATGTGAAATTAGCACGCCTTTTGCAGGAAGAAGAGGATTGGAAATCAATGAGGCAGCGAAGGGGTCGTCGTGCTATGACTTCTCAAAAGAACATCTACATAAAGATCAGTGAGGCAGAAATAGCTAATGATTATCCCTTGCCTTCATATTACATACCTTCTGTCCAAGAAACGGATGAATATATCTTTTTTGACAGTGATAGTGTGTCCTATCTTGATCTTCCGAAAAGAGTTCTTAACAATTGGGCTTTGTATAACTCTGACTCGAGACTCATTTCTTTGGAACTTCTCCCAATGAAACCTTGTACAGAGGTCGATGTGATGATTTTTGGATCTGGGATAATGAGAGAAGATGATGGTAGTGGGTACTTTTTCGAGACTGGCTCAGGCCAGTCTTCTTTGAGTGTATCTGAATGTGTGGATAATGAAGGGATTCCAGTCTATCTGAGTGCAATAAAGGAATGGATGATTGAGTTTGGCTCTTCAATGATTTTCATCTCAATTCGGACAGATATGGCCTGGTATTACTTATCAATGATTCAATGATCTTTCTTGATCCCATAATACATGCTATTTTCCTTATTCTTGAACAAAGTAGAATTGATTTACTCTTATGAGCTGTCTAATGTTCCATACCACGTACACTATAAGTAATATAATATAAGCAAGGTCTTGAGCATTACAGGGTCATGTTTATCCTACCTTGCAGTACCATTTTAGTTGAATATATTCTTAGTTTAATGACATTCTTGGTACTATGTATGTCTTTTGATCACAGGTACAGGCTAGGGAAACCATCCAAGAAATATGCTCTGTGGTATGAACCAGTCCTTAAAACTGCAAGACTTGCCATTAGTATAATCACTTTGTTGAAAGAACAAAGCAGGGCTTCAAAGCTTTCTTTCATCGATGTGATCAAGAAAGTGGCAGAGTTTGACAAAAGCCATCCTGCTTATGTATCATCGAATATGGCACTGGTTGAGAGATATGTTGTTGTACATGGGCAGATTATTCTTCAACAATTTGCTGAATACCCAGATGAGACAATTCAGAAGTGTGCTTTTGTAATGCGCCTTTCAGAGAAGATGGAAGAGAGACATCATACCAAACTTGTCATGAAGAAAAGAGTTACAATGCAGAAAGAAGCAAACTTAAACCCAAATGCGGTAGTAAAACCTCTTTTGTCTAAGAGAAAGGTGATGAGAGCTACTACAACAAGGCTCATCAATAAGATTTGGGGAGATTACTATTCTATTCATTTTCCTGAGGATTCAAAGGATAGCGAAGCTCATGATTCTAAAGAAGTTGAGGAGCAGGAAGATACTGAAGAGGAAGAAGCAGACGACGACAGCATATTGGTTAATGAGGAAAAGGCTTCAACATCATGCTCATTTATGCACTCTGGTAAGTTTAAACCTGCATCTAAGGAAACAAAGTGGGAAGGGGAGCCAACTGGCAAAATGAACTCTGGGGAAGCTCTTTACAAATGTGCATTTGTTCATGGGCATTGGGTTGCTGTTGGTAGAGCAGCAATTGTTGAAGCTAATGAATTATCAGAAGTGCCAGCTATATTGTTTCTGGAGTATATGTTTGAAAAGCATGATGGTACAAAAATGTTACATGGAAGGGTGATGCAGAAGGGGTTAGAGACTATTCTTGGAAATGCAGCAGATGAGAGGGAGGTCTTCCTTACCAATAACTGTATGGAAATTGAATTAGGATATATTAGGGAACCTGTAAGTGTGGAAATCCAGTCACGACAATGGGGACACAAGTTCAGGAAGGAGTATGCAAATGCTGATAAGATCGATAGGGGAAAGGCAGAAGAGAGAAAAAAGAAAGGACTACCAGTGGAATTCTACTGTAAAAGCTTATATTGGCCAGAGAGGGGTGGGTTCTTTACTCTTCCTTATAAAAGTTTGGGCCTTGGAACCGGTGTTTGTGACTCATGTGAACAAAAGGTTTCCCAGCAAGATGAATTTCTAATAAGCTCCAAGACTTGTTTTATCTATAAAAAGTCTGAGTACAATGTGCATGACTTTCTGTACATCAGACCTCAATTTTTTGCCAAGGAAAAGGAGGAGGATCGTGGAACACACAAGGCTGGTAGAAATGTGGGACTAAAAGCATTTGTAGTGTGCCATTTGTTGGAAATTCAGACATCTCTAGGATGTAAGGAACCTACCCCAAAATCAACCCAGGTTAGAGTAGGGAGATTTTACAGGCCAGAAGATGTTTCTACAACAAAAGGCTATAGTTCTGATATTAGAGAAGTAAAACTCTCTCTCTCTCTCTCTCTCTCTCTCTCTCTCTCTCTCATAATTTTCACTTTCTTATTCTATTGGATTATAGATGTAACGTTATGTAGAAGTACATTGTTGGACAGTAGAAAATAATCAAGCGTCTTAGTTAACCATTCTTTGCAATTTGGTTCCACCAAAACTCATTGTAGAACTCTTTGAATGAATGAAATCCAGGTCTATTACAGTGAAGAGGTACTCATGGTACCTGTAGAAATGATAGAAGGTAAATGTGTAGTCCGAAGGAAAATTGATTTTCCAAATATGGAGCTTCCTGTTATAATGGATCATGTATTCTTCTGTGAGTATGCTTATGATCCTGTTAAAGGATCCCTTAAGCAGGTATTCCATTTAATCTTAAGTTGATTAGCCTCACTCTGAAACTTTTCTGGTCATCGTTTATTTGACTGGATAACATCATGCTTGACATGCAGTTGCCTGCGAATGTAAAGCTTATCTCATTGAGAAAGCACACAGCTTCTTCTGCTTCAAAAAGGTTAAAGGGTAAGGAGAAGTGTAAAGAAAATATGCAAGATGACTCTGATCAACAGAAAGGTCTGCACAAAGAAAATTGCTTGGCTACTTTAGATATTTTTGCTGGTTGCGGAGGCTTGTCAGAGGGATTGCAGAAATCCGGTAAGCCTTTAATTCTATATACTTATTTAAGTTTGAAGATTAAGGAGGTGGTATTTTGACATTCTTGGAAGAGATAAATCATTCTAGTTTCAAAACCTCAGGTGTTTCATTTACAAAATGGGCAATCGAATATGAACAACCAGCTGGTGAAGCGTTTAGTGTTAATCATCCGGAAGCATTGGTGTTTATAGACAATTGCAATGTTATCTTGAGGTGAGTTATTTTGTAAATAATCTGTGTATTCACCTCCTCGGCAACTACCAGATTGGATCCACATATTTGTTTACTTGTTATTAATAACTTGCATGGATTTAAATGCAGGGCGATAATGGAAAGGTGTGGGGATGCAGACGATTGCAACTCGACACCTGAGGCTGCAGAGTTGGCAGCTGCATTCGACGATGAGAAGATTAAGAATCTGCCAGTGCCTGGTGAAGTAGATTTTATAAACGGAGGCCCTCCATGTCAGGTCTGCTTTTTATGTATCTGCCAAGTGCCTTCTTATCGGCTGTTAGAAGTTGTTAAAATTCTTCTTGAAGTCTAGAACGAAAAGTTGCCTTTACACTCGTGTCTTTTTCGTTTGTCAGGGATTTTCTGGCATGAATAGATTTAATCAGAGCACTTGGAGTAAAGTTCAGTGTGAGATGATTTTGGCATTTCTTTCTTTTGCCGAATATTTTCGGCCAAGGTACTTCCTTTTGGAGAATGTCAGGAACTTTGTATCTTTCAACAAAGGACAAACATTCAGATTGACTCTAGCTTCACTTCTAGCTATGGGTTATCAGGTATGGATCACCTTCTATTTTCTTGGTAAAATGCCAAATCATACTATCATATCGATTCTTGGATGTCTTGATCTGTTTAGTCAAGCCTGAACTTTGGTTTGGAATTCTACTACCGACTTGTGTCCATTCTCTGGACAATTTCATGGCTTTTTAGGTGCGCTTTGGTATTCTAGAAGCCGGAGCCTATGGTGTTTCACAGTCGAGGAAAAGGGCACTTATTTGGGCCGCTTCTCCAGATGAGACTCTTCCAGAGTGGCCAGAACCCATGCACGTCTTTGCTGGCTCTGAGCTTAGGATATCCATGCCTTGTGGTGTGCATTATGCTGCTGTCAAGAGCACTGCTGGAGGAGCACCATTCCGATCGATAACTGTTCGTGATACAATTGGGGATCTCCCACCGGTGCAGAATGGAGCTTCCAAATCTCCTATTGACGTAATCATTCTCCCTCCCTTTTAACTCGTATAACTGATGCCCAAAATTGCTTTGCATCTCTCTATTATTATTATTATTTTTTGTCAGTTCATGAAAATTTAGTCAAGTCTAGTTTCACTCATGGAATGTGCTTAAGTAGCCAGCTGTAGTTCCTTGATGCATCTCAATTTGCTCTCCTCTATTTTCATTGTAGTATGGAAGTGAGCCTACTTCTTGGTTCCAAAAGCAAATAAGAGGGAACACGATGGTTCTAAATGATCACATATCAAAAGAGATGAATGAGTTAAATCTCGTTAGATGTCAGCATATCCCAAAGCGTGCAGGTGCTGACTGGCATGATCTCCCAGATGAAAAGGTGATCCCTTCTTTTATGTCCATGTCTCCATAAAGTTCACTCCATGATTTTACTGCAACTATTTCTAGCACAACTGGACTGTTACTTCATCATGATCAATGTCAACTCGATGATTGATAATTCAGCTATTCTTGGCCCACATCAGGTTAAATTATCAAGTGGTCAGACAGTTGATCTGATACCTTGGTGCCTACCGAACACAGCAAAAAGGCATAACCAGTGGAAAGGTCTGTTTGGAAGGTTGGATTGGGAAGGGAACTTTCCTACTTCAATCACAGATCCCCAACCGATGGGTAAGGTGGGAATGTGCTTTCATCCTGAACAAGATAGGATTATTACGGTCCGTGAGTGTGCACGATCTCAGGTACGCTCTTCCTCATATTTGGTTGCATATAATTTGATCGATATGACACTCAAATCACATATGATTTGGGTCATATGGTGGTGTTAACATTGGAGGGCATACTGGATCCTTTCTTGTTCTCTCTGACAGCAGCCATGGTAATGGTTGCAGGGTTTTCCCGATGGCTATCGGTTTTCTGGGAGCATACAGAACAAGCACAGACAAATTGGGAATGCTGTGCCGCCGCCACTCGCGTACGCACTCGGGAGAAAGCTCAAGGAAGCTGTGGAATCAAAGCGACCGTGAGCGTCTATCGAGCATGCCATTGCACCATATTTTGGTTCTGGCTGCTCCCTGCAAGTATACAGTATACGCAGCCCGAATCTTGGTGTCTTCGCTACAGGTTCTACAGCTGATGATGTTCAAGTGAGGAACTATGCTGATCATTATTATTCAAGTGTGGCATAAGGGATTCTTTTCCATGTCATGCAGATAGGTTGTCATAAACAAAAAAATAAATAAGATTTATATGTGAGGAACTTGGATTGGTGTTTTATGCAGGTTATATGGACACCAAAAAAATGCAAATATCTTAATTACTTTAATGAGTTATGTATTAGAAAAAATATTATTGAAAAAAATAAATTATGATAAAATTATCATGATATATTATTATGATTTTAAATTATAAAAATTATGATAATATATTATCATGATTCTATCAATAATAAAGATCATGATCTCAATGTCATTTTTAAATTATGAAATAATTTAGTGAATATTTTATATTTATTATTGATTAAAAAATTATGTAATTATTATATTTTGTAATATCTCTTTTGTGTATATAAATTCATATTTATTATCAATTAAAATTCAACTAGTCATTTTTTCTCATAGTATCAAAGCTATAGTTACTTTAAGAAGTTTTTTCCTTCTCTTTGATCCTTTCTTTGCTATGGTTGAAAATAGCCTTACAACTTCTATTGAGCTTTATGCTCTAACAAGTCTCTTTTTCTTATAAGTTATTTCAGATCTTTTTCTTCTCCACTTTTCAATATGTTCGATAATATCTCTTCAACTACTCATTCATTTTATATTACCCTAACTTCTTTATTCTTAAAAATATTATTGTCTCCGTTGCTCTAAGCTTTTCTTAAATTTACATCCACAGACTATATCTTTTGGTATACTTAATTTTATTTTTTTAATCAATTATGATTTTATGGGTTATGCAGATGAAATCATCACTTGCCCTCTACAAATGATTAAAGTGAATAATTTTAAAGTTATTAATCCAAAAGATACTTTTTGATCCATCAAGATCATCCATTGTCTTTCTCTATTTTTAAATCATTCCCTATGTAGTCTCTATAAAATCCTCTTATGAAGTGTGGTCCAAGCTTGCAATAATACATGCTAACCAATCTCGTGGTCGCTTCATGTAACTTCAAGAAACTCTTTTCAAACTTTCTAAGGGTACAAAATATATTTCTAACTATATGTAGGCCATAGTCAATGCACTTGTTATGGTTGATGCACCTCTTGATGATTAAGAGATCATTTTTCATACATTAAATGGTCTTAGTTCATATTATAAGGAGATATCAATTGCAATTCGTACTTGTGATAGTCCTATATCTTTTGAAAAACTTCATAATAAGCTTTTTGACTATGAAGCTTATCTTAAGTGAGAGTCACTACCTTTTGCTTTTATTATTGTTAATTTTGCTAGTAAAACTTATTCTAACAACAAAGGTAAGATTTACAACCAGTAAAACAATCGTTCAAACAATTATTCTGGAGGCAACATGTAACAATGTCACAACAAAAGTGTTAACAAATCTGATCAACAATTTAACAACAAAGTCACATGTCAAATATATGACTTGCAAGGCCATGTTGCTAAGAAACGTCGTCGCTTGCAAGCTACTATGTCATACCTATCTTATTTTTCATATCCTACTACACCTGGTTTTTATTACCACTACCACGTACTCACTTTGTTGCTCAATCTTTTCAACATTCATCAAATTAACTTATTGATTCTAGGGCTTCTCATCATGTCATGACTGACTTTAATAATTTATCTCTTCATTCAAATTATCATGGTTCAAATGATATTACAATGGGTGATGGTAAATGTCTCAAAATAACTCATACCGGTTCTACAAACCTTCACTATTCTTCAAAATTCTTTTTACTTTCTAATGTTCTACGTGTTCCTAGTACGAAGAAGAATATAATATCTATCTCTAAAATATGTTCTTCTAATAATATTTCTATTGAATTCTAACCCTCTTCATTTATTATGAAGGATCTTAATAGGGGAGCACATCTCATGGAGGGGCTCAATATAGATGAAGTTTGTGAGTGGCTAATTGTTGCACTATCCAAATCAATCTTTGTTTTAGCCACCATCAAGGCTCCATTTCAAAAATGGCATAACCGCTTAGGGTATCTTTTTTTTAAGGTTCTAAATCATATTATTCATTCTTACAATTTATCTTTATCATCATCATCTTACCATTCATTTTCGTGTAACTCGTGCAAATTACAATAAAATACATAAGCTTCCATCTTCTAAATCCTCTCTCATAAATAATTCACTTCTTGAACTTATATATTCTGATATTTGAGGTTTTTCATCAATATAATCTCATAATGGATTTAACTACTATCTTATTTTTGTTAACAATTTCATAAAATACATATGGTTATTTCTCATGAAGTAAAAATATGAAGTATTCATCATTTTTCCAAAGTTCAAATTTACTGTTGAAAAGTTCTTTCAATGACCTATTATTTCATTTTACTCTTATAATAGTAGTGAATTTCAAAAGCTTTGTAACTTTTTTAAAACTAATGAAATCTCTCACCCCTTCATATACTATGAACATAATGGGACCATGGATTGTCGTCATTAGCATATCGTCCAAACTAGCCTCACACTCTTTGCTCAAACTTTCTTATTTCCTCAATTTTAGTCTAATGTATTTTTCATATTAACTTATTAATTGCATGCCCACTCCTAAACATAATTTCTAAACATTTAAAAAACTATTTGAATTGATTCTTAACTATAGTAAATTATGTGTTATTAGGTGTCTATGTTATCCATGTTTAAAACTTTACATGCATAATAAACTAGAAGCTTGATCAAAACCATTTTTTTTTTATATATTCCACTAATCAAAGTGCCTTTAAATGGTTTGATCTATCAATCAAAAAAAAATTATTTCTCATCATGTTGATTATGTGGAATATGGTTTTTCTTATAAATCACTTGACTCTATTTCATTTAGGCTAACTTCCAACAACTTTGTTAATTGGGTTCTCTAAATTCATGAGTCATCTTATATTATCATTTCCGTTCAAGTTGAAACATCAATCTCACCCATCAATCCAAATACTTTATCCACTCAGATCCCACCAAGTCCTTCCTCAATGGTGTATAATGAATAATATGTTTTCTTATCCATCTAGCTGCTCATAAGAGTGTTACACAATAAGAGAATCTACAGTAAGGTTTAGTTTCAGTATCTCCTACTTTAAATTTTGCTCGTTCAATACATCGTAGATATGTTATTAACTCTATGCCAATTCATTTGATGGTTACTAGATTAAAAAATCAAGTCTTTAAACTAAATAATTTTTTTTTATTTTTGTAGAACAATCCCAAAATTTTATTTTAAGCCTTCCACTGTTAACCAAGCCTTAAAAATTCTTGAATAACAAGCAACAATATCTGAAGAATATAATGCTGTGTTATGGAATGATACATATGACTTAGTCTTATCACATCTAGTCTTAGTTGGATTTCATAATTTTCAATCTAATAATTTATTATTTATTTATTCTCATGAAGGCATAATCATGTTTTTACTAGTTTATGCATAGAACTTAATTATTACTATTAATAAATCAATAATAATTGATTAGTTTATTCGGTAGCTTAGAAATAAGTTTTCTATCAAAGATCATAGGTCCTCCAATTATTTTCTTAGTGTTCAAGTAGTCCACACGATAAATGATATATTTCTTAACAGAAGTATATTCATAATCTTCGTACAAAAATACTGAAAGTCAATATTATTACTATGCCAATCTTCGTAAGTGTTTCTCTTTACCCTATTTGATAATGATAATCTAAACGATGCTTTCCATAAAGACGAAGGGATGAAACACTGCACCGTCGTTCGAGCGTACCAAAAGAGTTGGAAAACTCGAATGAAAAAGGATATATCGAAATGGGCCACAGATCGAGACGAGAAGGAAAATAAGCGATGGGGAAACTGGACTTCTCAATCATTCATTACCTTCAAGGGATTGGAGTGATCGAATCCGAAGCTCAGAAGGCGAAAAGTCGACCAACGATTTCCCCGTCTGTTCCCCTTTTTCTTCCATGCTTCCGATGAGACGGACTTCGCGTAGGGTAGGGAGGAGGCGGACGGTGGGTTTTTGTAACATCATGATTCGAATTTAAAGATGCAGATAGCGAATCAGTTCATAAATCAGAAAAGTCCGAGGAGCTAATTGCAAATTTTGATTTTTCTTTCGGCTTCAGCTAAACCCGAACCCCTGGAGAGCTCAGTCTCGTTGGGCCAAAGTTGGCTTCGGCCTTTCTACTTCGGCCCAACCCAAACTGAACCCGAGTCGAACTCACGATTGCGGTTGGCAATAAAAAATTGAGTCTTCGTTATCTTTTATTCTCCTTTTCGTCGTCATCCCGCTGCACGTTTGAGTGGCTTAATTGAGTCATAGTATCCATATACTAACAATCGAAATTGGAAAAATATTCCTCAAATAAGGTAATATTTCTTTAAATATAAGGGTTAGGATGCAATAGCATTTCAGATTTTCTGACTTGAATGTTGCAGAAACCTTATTCTTTCACCGATGTTAAGAAGAAGTTCGTTCGGAAGGAAGAAGAGTCGGAAGGGTGCTATATATCAAGAGACGAGCTGCATTGGTTTTGCATGTGCAGTTTGCACGCATGCATGAAAACCACACGTAAGGCAGAATCATCAAAGATGCGATTCGCAATTGCCGTATGAGCATCGGGTTTCATCGCACCATTTCTCAGATGGGTGATCGAGTTACGTGCTCGTGACATAGGGTGGGCGTTGACTTGTTGCTGCAACTTCGACGGCCATCAAAACCTACGTCCTCCCTCTCTTATATACACATCTCTCATGATCGGGGACCAACCACATAGACATAGTGAGAGTAAACAGGACCTGAGACCTGAGAGAAGACGAGGGCACAGTGCTTCCGGCGACCAAGACCTAAGCCAAAGAGAAGGACTAAACAGAGACAGAAGCCAGCAATACGGCGCTTCTGGCAATTATCTCAGAGAGAGAGAGAGAGAGAGAGGGGGGTCAAACTCGATTGGAAGGCGATCTAATGTGTCGCTTCCTGGTACGTACATCACCTTCTCCCCTGGCTGCGAAATGCTCACCCTCACCGGATTCACGTTCCATGGCTGTCTCCCACGATGAACTCGTGAAAACAGCCTCACCAATTTCACTCTGTGCTGATCCGGTTCTGTATGCATACAGAACCATACTGTTACTGTTACTGCTCCGAAGCGCAGAGAGAGAGAGAGAGAGAGATGTCGTCCTTAGCTCCAGTCTCCAGACTTCAGTGACATTATACTACCAAATAAGCTACTCACGTTGCTAATCTCTTGAGAGAAGCCCTTTTATGGATCTCAGGATCAAGTTTTTATAAATTAATCGTAATTTAATATATATTTATGAAAGAACAACAATTGAAGAAAAGGACAGCAGTATCCTTTCAATGATATGGGAAACAAAATTTTAATACGAGGCAGACATGCAATTCCATTATATTGGTTATATCGAATTATATATATATATATATATATAATATATATATATAATAAGGTACAAGCAGTAGCACTGGAATAAATAAATAAAACCGAAACCAATCCATAAATAACGGAAGCTGAGAAAACGATGCAACGACGCCTATAAAACACCGGGTTTTGTAAACTACACGTCCGGCAAATCTCCGCCTTCTCCTTCTCCTTCTCCCTCTCCCTCAATTCTCCCTTTCCGTCTGCTCGTGTGCTGATGTCGAGGTCGCCGCAGGAACGTCGCGAACGCGACAGCGAGGGAGAGGGCGAAGAGGAGGCCGTCGCCTCCGTAAGACACGCCGTGGGCCTCGGCCGCGGCACCGGTGGTCCCTCGTCGTCGCGGCCGAGGTTGTCCGCGGAGGCGGTCTGGCCGGAGCACTTCGTCGAGGCGGTCGCTGCGCGGGTCGCCATCGACGCCGCGCGCAACGGCGGGCGGCTCGCTGCCGCTCCTGCCATCGTCGCCGTGTTCCAGGTTCTCTCTTCTCCTGCTATATATCTCCACCGTGACATCCAAGTAGAAGAATGCATCGGTTTCTATCTTTCTCATCTCGCCTTGCTAGATAGATCAGTTCCTGTTTGTTATCGGGATATCAGGAACGCAAACTAGGTTTTTGTTCTTGTTGCATTAAATATGGTTTGGAACAACGAAACCACGAAGAACACACTAACCGCTATGATTTTGGAATGACGGAACATGGAAGAATCGGCTACGAAAAATGACAATGTTGGAATAATAGATAGCACTGAGAGCAGAGCCGCTATTCCATAACGAAAGCTCCAGTAGCTTATTTCCACATATAGATTATCTCCGTAGAAGGGTTTTCTTTGGGTTATATTTGTTGTTGTCTACAGGAACACCCTTTGGAATTAGAATGGTTCCTTCTGCTGCTACTCTCTGACCGCCACTATTCTCCATATCCATGCTTCGCCTTTGCCTTCCATTTTCTTCGCTCTCGATAATGGGTGGCTGGCTTTAGCTGTACCCTTTGCTCTTTGCAGTGAAAATCTATTGCGACTCAACGTGCTCCTGCTGCCTCTCCTCACCCTGTCAGCGTTCATTATTTCTCTCTGCCCTTTTTTCTTGCACTCTGCCGTCCGATTCTGACCAGAGGTCTGCGCATAGAGCCAGTCGTGGGTGGTGGCGTGTGGTACTCTGTTCTTTTGACCCTCGCGTCGGCACCGCTTCCCGTTCGATTAACTCTACTCGACCCATCCCTGTCTCTGCTTTATTTACATTAGCGGAAAGGAACGAAATGAAAGAGAAAGCTCGGGGTTGGCGTCATGCGGCTGAGACGGTGGAAAGCAAAGGGGGGCGGGGAAAAGAAGCCAGCCAGCTACCTTCTCCCTCGCGCATCCCTTTCGTTTCCGTTTTGGGTTTTCTTTTATCGGGGTGGGAGAAGGATACAACCGCACAGCCTCTTTTCTTCCTGCTTTCAGTTCACACTATAATGGGGGTTGTGCTAATAAGTTAATATACTACAAGGAAGAAAGAGACGAGAGTTATTCGGGACCGTCCCAGAATTGTCACATGGGTTGACTGACTTCAAAAGAACGGCCTCTTGCTGTTTTCTTTTGTTTTGTTTATTCGTGGGTGGGTTGTTCTTTTATGACGTTCCTTGGAAATGAAAGTGCGGGGGAAAACAAGCTGCACGGTCTATGTTTTTTGTTGTATGGGCGGACGAAAGCTTCGCTGCTTCCGACGATTTGGTTTGGCTCCTTCACGCCGCACCATGCATTGACCCGTCTACCTCTCTCTCTCTCTCTCTCTCTCTCATTGTCCTTGAGATAAGAGGGACGCATTGGCCCCAGCTGCTGGGGCCCTCTGTGGAATTCCTAATTTTTGTCCTCGACAATAAACAATCTCACAAGGGACGTCTAACACAGTCCCTATATATCCAAATCCATCCATCCGCTGCTTTCTGCTGCTGACACATCTTTTCCATCACATGTGCACCTCATTCTTAGAACCCATATCATATTATCTCCTGCGTGATTGATATGTATGATCTATATAAATCTGAAGAATAGGTGGACATTGTTCCAACTTATGGTGAGTCCTTGTGTGCCCATTTTATGTTTGTGTTTTTTATGAAAAGCCTCGAGTCGTATAATGTTTTATGTTGAGGTCAAATGTCTGGGAACAATCTGGTAGTTCCATGCTGCCAAAGCTTGTTCCAAGTCCCACCACCTTCCGACGCACATGGTCTCCCTGCAGAGTCCAACGCCGAGGAGACTTGTCGTTTAGTCGCCTTTGCTTTTTGATGATGGGATGTGAGGACCAAGCATTGGACGGAATCAGACTCGGGACTCTTTCACGGAGAAAGGAGGGTTTAGAGAGAGAGAGAGAGAGAGAGAGAGAGAGAGAGACACACACACACACACGCATGGGTGGCTCGTGAGTGGTTATAGGGCTTTGGCATGCATGCGAAGGGACGTCGACCGTCTAGCAGAGGCTGGACTTGAGCAAACATCAAACGTCATGTGTCATGGTCGCTTTACACCACCGTCACGGATCACATCTCTCTCATCAGGCGCTGATATCAGCCGCCCCGATCGGACTGGATTTTACGACGTACGAAAAAAGTACGTCGTCGAGATCGCGGTTCGGATTAGGGGGAACAGCGAGCCTGGCAGCAGTACCTGTGATGTTTTGAGGTAACGCAAGGAAGCGCGAATGCTGCTCCCTTCGTTTAGGGTTCATGGGACCACCCCATAATCTAGTGGGATCGTTGGGATTAAGATGATTCTTCTCAAAATTGAATCCCTATACTTAGCTTTCTTTATCCTCTCGTGTCGTTTTGCAGCTCCCCTCCTGTTTTAGTGGCCGTCGGTCCTTGAAACACGCGAGGAGACCATCCGCTGGTTCAATGGGTGTGAAGGTGTTCGTAATCGAAAAGCCATGATATTATATTGGAAATAATAGTCATTAAAAGAAAAAATACATGCAAGATAAACAATAGAGGAGACATTATGAAATTAAAAACTTACTTGTCTATATCTTCAATCCCAGGGGAATATGTTACATCTAATGAGATTTCTTATTTTTTATTATTATTATGAGAAATCTTCACTTTCTTTTAGTTTTTATGTGATGAATTTTTTTTTATTTATCTTCTAACAATCAAAATAAGTGAAAACATTGTACCTTTTCTACTTGGAGTAAGTGGAAACAAACATTGATGAAAGGGAATGTATAACTCAAAGGAGTGATCGGATTTATCGAATTAAATTTGAGGAGAGTTAGAATCGAGTGAACGAACTGTGAGAGGTCATCATATGCACCTCGTACAGAGAAACGTACTATTGGATGCATAATAAGGTTAAGATAAAATAAAAAAAAAAATCATAAATAATCCATCGCGCGAGCTGCACGACAAGAACGATCGAGTTGAGATGATCGAGCTCATCGTGTGGCTCCACATGATCAACCTAATGTAGCATAGCACTATGTTAATGTGAGCACTTTACAAGGGAAAATTAAGCTCGAGGGAAATGTTAGAAAATAAACTTAATTTACTATCTTATATAATCATATTAGGAATAGATATTGAAATGAAAGATTATATGGAACAAGGTCACCATGAAAAAGGTGCAAGCATTCTGAATGAATAGGTATATGACCTCTGATTCCGATATATGGATATAGATAGAAGGGTTTATGGCATAAATTGTATAGATTGTAAATAAAAAGATATAATCGTGTGAGGATCATTAAAATCCTGCCGTCATTGCTTGTGCTGAGAGCTTTTCGTTGCATGATTGGTTTCACAGCACCTCTTGCAGGTTCACCACAAGTCCAGTGTTTCCAACTTCTGCAGTCCCCCATGTAAGCAATATTATGTAGCGATTCATGCATGTTAGCTATGAAATTGTACATAAAATGTTAATCCTGCTGCATGTTTCTTTTCACGTTCTGCATAATCTTTGCACATAAAATGTCAAGGATAATTAATCGTCTACATTCTTATTCAGTGATCATTTCTAAGTTATGCTTATAGATATTATGAGACTCAATTTCATGGGAAATAGCAGGTGTGCGCCACGTGGAGGGCTGTTTCCCGTTCTGAGCTCCTGTGGAAGGACCTGGCCGGCCGCATCTGGTCCCGTCAACGCTCCTCGCTCCCGTCGTGGCGCGACGAGTTCGTCCGCCTCCACCGCACTGCCGCCAACTTCCGGGTTCGCCGCTCTGCTTACTCTCGTCTGCTGCCTCCCTCCGCTGCGCTCTCTTGCCGCCGTCTTACCCTGTCGGACCGCCACCTCGCCGCTGGCTACCGCGACGGCTCTGTCCGCTTGTTTGATCTCCCCGCCGGTCGGCCGGTCGCCACTTATCGGGCCGATCCGCACCGCGACCGACTCGGACGCTTCTCTCAGGCTGTCTCGGGCGTCGTCTTTCTCGCTGAGCCCGATGAACGCCTTGCGTTCGCTTCCCAGGACGGAGATATCCACGTGGTGAGCCTCGACGTGTCCGGAACCGTCCGGCGGGCTCACGCCGGCAACCTCGTGGAGGACGGAACGCTGGTTGACTTCACCGGAGACGATCGCCGGTGGGTGGGCTTGTTCGCGGGGGTTCCTGGCCGGTCATGGCACGTCTGGGACGCCGCCACGGAGCAGCTGGTTTATGTTGGTGGAACCTTGACGGATCCCGACGCCGTATTGGGTTGGCACATGCTCACCGACTTGTCCGGGCCGGTGGTCGGCCGCGTGAGGGTTGCCGAGCCAGAAGTTGCGGTAGGGTGCACTACTTCGAGCATGGAGGTGGTAGACCTTGATGATACCGTGACGACGCTAAACCGGCTCGATCTCCAACACGGAGCCGCCGTGGACTCGGTGGACGCGTGCGAGGGCCGGGTGATGGTGGTGGACGCGCGAGGTCTGGCGAAGGTGCACGACGTGCTGACGCTGCAGGAGATTTGCAGGTTTAGCACGTTGAGGAGGGCGGAGGAGCAGCAGCAGCAGCAGAGAGCCGTGGGCGTGGTAGGGTGCATGAACTGGGGTTACGCGTTAGTGTTCGCTGCTCGCGGGTTTCGGGTGTGGGACGCGACGACAGGTGAGTACTTGTACAGCTTTAGAGAGACGATAAGCGAGGCCGCCGCCGTGGCCGCCAGTGACCGATACGTCGTTGCTTGGGCAGACGACACGGGATTGCACCTGTGGGATTTTGGAACCATGTAAATGGAGAAACGCAAGCACGATCGGGTTCGAAAACTAGACAGAAGTTGCCTTGCATCGTAAAACATATATGAGTTGGGTTGGTAAATCAAGATCTAGAATTTGTATTCTTGTGTTTGACTTTGACCGATCCAGTCAATGATGAAAGCCACGATTCCAACAAGATCTAGAATCTGTATCCTTGTGTTTGACTTTGACCAATCCAGTCAATGATGAAAGCCACCTTTCCAACAAGATCTCCCCGAGGTTTCTTGAGATTGGCATATAATGGAATGGAGACCGCATGCGTTGGTGGAAAAGCGTAGCTGTTTTGGGTCTCCCAACTCCACCAAGCCGACATAGAAGTTCTGCAGATTAAGCATGCCACTTCCTTCCAATCGCTCGAGACAAAATGAAGCAGGAGAAAAGGCGTGCGTAGATTTAGAAGAGCAGCAGTCCGATTCCTTTTCACCAGAATCAAGATACTTCCCTGGCAATTTTCACCTATCAAAGAAGGGTATGACGCCGGCCTAGGGATGAGAAACAACCTGAAACGATCGCAGGATCGACCGGTTTGCGTTTGCTGCATCGGAGCCACTCGAATTCCAACGCGTGGAAGCCGGAGAGCATAAATAACTATTTCTGGATCTCGGTGTTCGCCTTTTTGGTGCTTGCGAAAGCACGCCTAGAAAGCCACAAAAGCCTCTCCTCCTTGGATGTTCGCTGTAAGTACGGAGCGAGCCCTTCAAACACCCGGTGAACCCCAAAAATACACCCCACCATAAGTTTTGGGAGATCCATGGGAAGCAAGAATGCTGATGCCATAGTCGTATGCTCATCTGCTGCAGCGAATCAAAGAGACGAGGGAGGAGACTGCTTGCTGAAGCTGAACGTCCACCCACCTGGTTCTTCCACCATGACTTGATGCATTGTTCCAGCCCTCTACGTGGCTCTTCATCCCCTCGGATTGAATACCATGTCCACTGCGTCGACTGCAGCTCGTTTGAGACCTCGTTATCGTTAGGCTTCTGGTCCAATGACGTGCAATTCGCTTGACTCTAGGACCCTATGACGTTCTATTGGAACAGATGTTGACGCTTCTCTGCATCTGTAAAGTTCTACTAGCTGCGTTCCTCTCTCTTTTGGATGCTTCTTCCTTCTTTCAAGAACAGGAAGCATTGGAGACGCAGTGTAATCATGGTTAGCTGCTTTCTCCCTCAAGTTGTGGTTTTGTCTCGTGAAAAGATGCACCATTTTCTAATCTATCTTCAGCCTACTTGTCACACTTGGCTGGTTCACTGACAGCCTGCTGCTTCTGCTTAACCAGCACTTCTTTGAGACCACTCATTTCATACCTTTGTTATCTAATGTGTTTTTTTTTTTGTCACGTTCGTCGTCGTGTACACAGAAATCGATCCCCACCAAATTTTTCTTTCATTAGCTTCAAGCATCTGCATGGAGAGAGAGAGAGAGAGAGAGAGAGAGAGAGAGAAAGCATAAGATGCAGCAAAAGTTTCAAGGAATCAGCTTCTTAAAGAACTTTTCCTCCAATGATCCATACATCAGATTCCATCCTTCATAAAGAATCCGGTTTGTAAGGACTCTCTTCGAATTCTCAATCCTCCAAATAATTTAAATCTGAGTAGGAACTCAAAAAATATATGTGAATAGTAAAATGTATTTTTGTTTGAAATGATAAGGGACCATTTGGTCAGTCGACCGTTACTATAGCCCGTAGGCTCACGAAGAATTGTTCGCTTTGGGCGATAGACGTACTCGTACGTTTTTATCCTTTTGAATCATGTGAACTCCAAAAGGCACATCCGAGGATAAGGAAAACTTAGTGGACTTATGAGCCCTTAGTTCTCATACTCTTCAACTTACGTGGGCCTAAATGGTTTTATTAGTGCTCCCTCTCATATGGGAGACAAGGGCTCATAGCTAAGGTGCATAGCTCGGGAGCGAGTTTGTTCGGTTGAGATGCAGGCCTTGGGCCCTCCTTATAGCGCCAATATGATAAGGGACCATTTCTCGATTTGTGCATATCATCCTTACGCAGGGGCCATACTAATCTTCTTTATATTGTTTCAATTTTATCGGATGTCTCCGAAGAGAGGGAGAGAGCACTGATAAGGTCATGAGTCGTGCACCTTGGCTACGAGCTCTTGGCTCCCATATGGGAGGGAGCATTGATAAGATCATTTAATCCCATTTTGGTTAAGGAGTATGAGAACCAAGGGCTCATAAGTCCATCAGATCTCTTTTACCGTGAAAGGCACTTTTTGAAGCTCATATGCATCGAAAAGAATAAAACATCACTGGTTGATCGGTTGTGCGTGAGGGGGAAAAGAAAAAAAAATAGAGAAAATTAGACGAATTGAGGGATGAAACAAAAGATAAGATTAAAATTTTTATTTCTTACGTATAAGTCTTTATATATATTTTTTTTCTCGTGATAAAACTCATCTATTTATAGGGCCATAGATGAGAAAACTCAATTATTAACATGAGATTACTCACATGAATGCTGGCCTGCACATCCTCATAAGTTCATGGCATGTTGTGAGACTATTATTATTATTATTATTATTATTATTATTATTATTATTATTATTATCCGTACCGTGTTATGACTATACACTCCAAAATCGTCTCAGTCGCCTCCAAACAACAAATTCTGCTGGCAATTTGTTTATTTTATTTGATCAAGTTGAATAGGGTGGGGAATGGACTCTCCAAAGAAAAGAAATATATTTTGAAGACATCAGTTTGTGCTTCTAAATTTAACTCTGTTGAGAAAAAAAAATTGATAATTTCGTTAGTCCTAACTCATATATGCTTATAGTCACTTATTGGAAATTAATAAGTCGATTATGACCCCAGTGTGATATGACCCCAAAAAGACGCAAAAAAAAAAAAAAAAAAGGACATGAGTTGTTCTAGCGTTC